TAACATGTTTCCCTGCTCTGTTTAACTGTTTTCTCCTCCACTCACAACTGCTGAGTCTGTGTCTTATTGAGAGTGTCTTGAGTTTTCTGAGCATGCTTCTGTTCATTTACTCATGTCCAGTTGCCTTCACTTCACAGGCATAAATCAGACATGAAGACATTATTAGCAGCAATCCCTGGCACACCCAGCACACTGAGCAAGCATCTTATTTAAGAAAACAATATACAATGGATTATTCATAACAGACTGAATGCGTCACAGATGAGTAATTATAAACATGAAATATATCAATAATGACAATTCTTACAGCAGATTTAACAAAGTAACACACTACAAATAGCCTGTTGGTTGATTATGTATTATTAATGAAATGCCAAAACATTTAGGTTTTTTAACAGGACAATTAATTACTCCCAATAAATATCACTTATGCCAGGCCTCTTCTTTAAAGGAGGCTTTTGGACATCTGGTGAGGGTTATTTTTTAAAAGCAATAGCTGATGGTTCCTACAGAAAGTTCCCTAGGAGCTATGAGGACTGGAGCCATCAACATATATAAATGAGCCAGAAGGCAATTAAAGAGGTGAGGGTAACCATAACACTGTAATAATTTTCATATAAATTGAGGTGGATCATAGTGTAAGATTCAAACCAACATACGCTTCAAGCATTTCCCCACTGCAGACATTCAGGGCTATTAGTTTCACCAGGAAAGTGTCTTCATACACATCCTGTGGCCCAGGTTTAAAAGAAGATCCAGATTTAAAAAGAGGATCCCAGCTTGCTTGCTGGGAGACAGTCAACTGACCCAAATGAAGACCTGCCCCAAGGAGAAGTTCCCAGAACCACCAGGCTGGTTATTATTAACTACTATTAAGCCAAGAACAGGCTATGCTGAGGAAGGGTTCTAAGACTGTTGTGCTCAAGCATGACTTCATATAGAAAACTGGAAGCACCAGCTGCCTTCGGATGCATGGGACTTGGAGCAATTCTGCAGGAGGTGGCCAGGGCATCCATCAAACGGTGCATTGTCCACCCAGAGCAGCTGTTTAACACCAACCACTACACTACTTAGCTGCTTATGGGAAGAGTATATAGGCGGACCCCAAACCTGCAATGACCTCTATAAGTGCACAGCAATGGGCAGGAACGGACCTCCTCCAAGGGGTAAGCCCTGGAGCTCCGGCACGGCAAAGTGCTGAAGGGTTCCCTGGACTCAGCAGGATCTGAGCACATGCTGGAGCACCTTGTCATCCAAGGCCTTAATTCATGACAAACCAGATCCTATCAGCGAGAGCTGAGCTGCCTTGAGAAAGTCTGTGCTTCTTCCTTTGCAAGCTACCGGTCTTTGGAAGATTATAGTAAAGCTGTTCCAAGAAACCAAAATGGTCATTTCCTGCTGGAGCGCGGTATTTAGCTCTTGGGGCGGCACAAATTACAGCATCCTTGTTTTTATTTCAGTATTTATCTGAAGGAAATGTACAACAGAAATCTGATGCTGGCTGTATTTTAAACCCATGAGCACTCTGTAAACAAGCTAGACCCAGAGAGATTTGCATGTTTCTTCTTGAAACATAAAGAGAACCAGCGAGACTGAATAATTGAAAACAGTTATGGAGACTTCATTTTCTTGTTTTCCCCGGGATTTGCTTTTGGGCTGGCTGCTCCCAACCTTAATACCTGGCAGGGATGATCAACTATTTGGAATCTCATTTGCATAATAGTTGATGTACCGACAGCTCTCCATAGGGAAATCACTGCCTTGGTGGAGGTCAATAATATGCAGAAAAAAAATAGTGTAGCGAGGGCCTTTTTCTTCAACTGCAGTTTTTAAAAGGGGTCAGAGCAGAGTACCTAAGATCAAGGATGAATACATAAATCCATCTCAAAGAACACGTTACTGTGACATCCTTGGTAGCCTCTAGATATGTCCTCAAACTCTTTGAGAAGCTTGCCAATTAGCAGCATGAACATGTCTAGGTCTTCAAACACATGCCCAAGGGGCACGCTTCCCTTGGGGGATGGGGAAGGGGGGGGCCACATAGATCATGGGAGGCAATGGCAAAACTCCAGTTACCTTCACTGGGGCAGGTTGCAAGCATCAGCAGTGCTCATCCAAGCCAACAGGCTATTTACTTAGCTGTTTGCCTAAGGCTTTGCAGGATTGGGTAACCCTTCAAACTGATCGTCGTATCTATGCAAACAGCTATGGTCCTGCAAATAGAGGAGAATGAAGAAAACCTCATTAAAGTGGATCAATCCCTGTGCAGGAACAAGGTTGTTGCAACTCATTAACTTCAGTGAGGCTCTGCCCTACTGACCTCTTTGCAGAATCAGGCCCCTGGCAGGAAGCAAGTACAAGTGCAAAGAGAATTTAGGTTAGGAAGGAATTAAGCCAAACTGGAACTTGTGCAAGGTATCAGTGGTAGCCATTCCTGTGACTGAACAAGCTTTCAGCCTCTCGGGCTTGCTCATGTTATTGTTTAATGTGCCAGCATCAAGGATAAAGAGATCCCAAGGAAAGTATTTACATGCAGATGCTCTCTCTGTGTACGTGGGCTTATCATGCTGTCACCTGTGTCATCCCACGCAAGCATCCTCCAGGACACTAAGTGACCACAGGCAAACCCAGGATCTGCTTATGCCCTATTTAAAAGGTGAAGCAGCCCAATTTTGACCCTTGATGCATTTATAAATATCTAAATATCCTGCAGATACCAAGGGGAAGAACTTCAATAAACACAAATGATGATGATGATGGAAATACAGGAGGGTAAGGAAGAGGGATGGCTCAGAGAGCCCCAAACCAGCACCTCCACTGAGCTCTCCCCAGCACTGCTGGGGATTGGTTCACTGCTGGGGGTTCAGAGACAAACACAGCAGCCACTGTGCCTCAGCACCCCACTTTGCAAGGCCTGTACCCCAGGAGGTAGCCACTGAAGCTGGGGATGCCAGCGCGGTGGGGTATGGCTACAGGCAACCAACAGCATGGATCTGAAACCTCCATCCGGGTTAAATGGCTTGATAATGTATGAAAAAGGGAGATATATGCTGCCTGAAAGCTTCAACTATGAACAGACCTAATGACAGCATGCAGTGCAGATGCCTAAGGTTTTCTTTTATCATGCTGTAAAAATGCATATACAATTATGCCCAGTAAGCCTCCACAAGCAGATACTAAGTTCAAGGAATGAGAGGGCAGTTTTAGAACCACCCACTGAATTTCTACACATTTTCCACGTCCTGTCCATGGACTTCAGGTTCAACAGACTAAATCCACACTGTGGCTTTAATTACCACTGCTTAATGTCTTTATTCTGAGAAACATTTTCACATTTTAGTGTTTTTATCAAAGTAGACTGCATTTAATTAAAAGCAGACCTATAAACCTATTTGTTTCTATTGCCCTCTTTTCATGATAGCCCAAGTACTATTGCATAATACCCAGTATTTACTTTGGTTTCTTGCTTACACTTTTAACACTAACCACATTCACAGGTTAAAAATACAATTAAAGCCTACTCAATCTTGCAAAGCTTCTCCATACATATCAGTTCCCCCAGTTAACAGCTGAGCTAACTAATATATATTTTGTGGACTGTATAAAACTGAATAAAACTGACTTGCTATTGTTTACAGGACTCATAAAAAATAATTTCAGTTTACCTTAGCAAGCCACCTGGCTAAAATGAACACTCTAAGACCCATTCAACATTCCCAAAATATTCTGAAAAGGCTCTGTCTGTTTCATTTTACATCTCCTAATAGATTGCCTGCCATATTTTATGCTGAATCAATAAAGTTATATGTGCACAAATCAACTAAAATTATGTTTTCTGGTATTTCTAATACAAGGAGCTTCTCAACGGGTATTTTGTTCAGTTTACAATAATTCTGGAAGATAAAACATGCATAGTACTATCATCTTGCTACTGGTCAAGCAATGATTTTGCTTAGAAATTAGGTCATTTAAAGAAAAATAAAATGACTAGCATTGCATTGTAACTTACAGGGGGAGGTTTTCTGAAGGCTGTGTGAGATGCTTGGGACCAGCCATTTAAATATACCAAGACTGGGCTGGGATTTAATCTGTTGAAGGAAAGCCTGGACAAGCGGCCACAAAAATGTTGTTTATATATCCATCTATATTTATATATACCCATGTATCATGATATGGTAGGAATAAGCTGCATCAGCACAGTCCTCAAGCACGTTATGATTGGACAAAAGCTGCACGATAATGAAGTCAGAGAGTGTGTGAGTATGGAGAGAGGAGGTAGGACCCTGTCTCCCAACATAGCTGAGACAGGAAAGGAAGGAGATTTTGTTTAAATTAGAATTTCTGCAAACTATTTCTCTTTAAGTGTTGTTTTTTTTTCTTTTTTCTTTTTGCAAGACAAGTTTTGCCCCGGGATTCAATAGCAGGGAGATGCTTGCAAAGTGGTTTTGTTCACTCATGAAATCCATCAGTTTGCAGCATCGGGCCCCGGCCTGATCCTGCCCCACCGAAAAGTTAAAGATGTTGTGAGAACCAGATGAAGTCTACACACTACCAAAGAGTACAGGACCAGAAGCCAGCTCCTGCAGGATGGAGCCCTCCCCACGGCAGACCCCTGCGGTCCTTACGCTACCTGGAAGTTTCACCCGGTGCAGGGTTTGGCCCGGGTCCACCACCCTCCCCATCCCTCACCGCCCGATCGGGATTCTGCCCGGAGATACACAAACTGCCTCGCCAGAGCCAGCGCAGAGTATTTATCTACAGGTGCAGTGCAGAGAGGATTTGTCTACAGGTACAGTGCATACTCTGAGGAAACAGTTAAGCATCCACAAAGACTCTGAAAACTGAAGAGACGAAGCTTCCCTTGCCAATTACAGAATTAAACAGTCGCACCGCCACACATGCATGCCAGTGAGGAAAGGACACATGCAAAGACCCTCTCCCTCCCCAAAAGAAGCCAGCTGAAATAGTCCTTGTTAAAAAATGGCATTGGGAGCTCTTACCTGGTAAAATTTGTATTCCCAGCTACCAGCACACCTACAGCACCAGGCTCTCATGGGGCATCGTGCGAGGGCGCAACGGCAGATTGGTGCAGGTCATGGAAGTTTACAGCCAGAAGCAAAAAAAAAAAAAAAAAAACCAACCCCAAAACAAAACAAAAATATTCCCCAAAAGCCACAACATGACCCAAATGATATCCCTGCAACGGTTGTCTCGTTACAAACAAGATGAGATGAAGGAGGGGTTTTTACTTGCTCTGAGGCATCATATGGAGCTTAATCACAGGCAGTTACGTATATGGTTCTTTTGGCCTTCAATCAAGTGTGTCATTTTGGTGGCAGCTGCCTACGTGATGTAAGCAACCTGGGTGATCCAGTCCTTTGCCAATCACGGCCTTGTGCAGCTATTTTACAGCTGAACAATGGGGAAATTGGATTTCCCAGGCAATGTGGAGATCCTCTTGTAGTCCACCAAGCACATCGAGTGAGCCGGGATCACGCACCTCTCCTCCGGCAGAGTTACAGGCAACCACAGCCCGGCCAGACCTCAGCGAGCCGCTCCCACAGCTGATCTCGTCCCACTATCATTTCCCGACGGAGCCCGTCTGTATCCCGACGACTTCCAACACACTCCAAAAGCCACCGAGAGAGGAGACAAGCTTGCAAGGCGCCCAGTGAATTAGCGCGACACGGAGCGGCACGTACTAAGGGGGATGCAGCTGCTGCATGGGAAACAGCAAAACTTGGTGGGTGGAAAAGGTCTGAGCTGCTGGTGAGTAACAGGAGAAACAGCTCACACTCAGGACACCAGCAAAGCACGGCAGCTCAGCCTTCCTTAATGCATTCCTTTTGCTGTTCAAGTGGGTAAATCAGGAGGCAATCACTGCAAATCATGTATTAAATCTGGTGATTGAAATTATATCTGAAATAAAACGAGGCTGGGCTGAATACATTAAAGCTATTAGTAGGCATCTGGGCGACAGGCAGGACTCTCTTTGGGAGTCTTTTGGTTGCCGACAGCGGCATCAGGAGGTGTTTGGGGCCAAACTCCTCCGTCGCGTACATTTGTTGATTTTGACAGATTCATTAAGACCCCATCTATTGAAACAGATGGTGGATGCTCCCTCTGCTCTGGGATCTTCATTCTTATCTAACTCCACAAGAGCAGGACACTGCATAGATACCAAGCACTTATTACATCATCCATGGTACGAATGAGAAGAGGGCCCAGAAATTAAGAAAAAGGCTTTCTGGGCAGCAAAAGTGATGTTACGCTGCTCCATGGCAACTTGCACGCCCCTCTCCACAAGCAACGCGTGTGCGTGTGCCCACAACCGCACACAGCCAAAGGTGGTGGCGGTGGGTGTGTGGAAATCCACTCGTGAACAAATCGCACACGCGAGGGGGACGGGGTAACAAGTGCTCCCGCCGGTGGGGATGGCCGGAGGGGATGAGCATCCACACCCGCAGACATCCCCCCCCCCGCCCTCCGCCGCCGTCCCCGGACCCGGCTGCACCCCGCGGGGGACCGCTCCGCCGCCGCCCCGTCTAAGCAAGTCGGTAGGGCTGGGCGAGCCCCCGCTCCGGCCAACAGGTCGGTCCTCCGGGGAGCACCGGCTGCCCCTCACCCGGGGAGGCGGGGGTGCTTGCAGGGAGCCGGCAGCCTCCCGGGTGGGGCGCAGCCGGCGCTCCCCATCCTTCGCCAGGGTCTCACCCCCCCCCCCCCCCCCCCCCCCCCCCCCCCCGACTCACCTCTCCACCAGCCGGCTCCTCCGCCACAGGTTTGTTCAGCTCCTCTTCCCCCCCCCCCCCCCCCCCCACTCCTCCTCCTCCTCCAGATCGCTCCTGGCCGAGTTATTCAAAGGAGGATGGAGGGAGGAGGCAGAGAGAGAGCTGGGTGGTGAGGATGGCGGAGCGGAAAAAAAAAAAAAAAAAAAAATACTAATACTACTACTAATAAAAGAAATAAAAAGAGGTAACGCTGAGTGCGGGGCGGCGCGGCGCGGCAGCGCGTTGCGGCTCAGCGCCCCATGGCCCCGCAGCCCACGGCCCCGCCGCGCCGCGCCGCGCTCCCCACGGCACCCCCGGCCAGGGCGGCGCAGCGCCCGCCCGGGAAACACCCTCCGCCGCGGCCCACCTTGCGGCAGGGCCCCGCTAACCCCTTCCTCGCCGGCACCTCGGTGCCGGCCACCCCCTCATCTTCCCCACCCCCCCCCCCCAAAAAAAAAAAAAAAAAAAAAAAAAAGGCAAAACAAAACAAAACAACGAGGGATGCTGCGCGCAGGGGAGAGGGGCCAGCCTGCCGGTGCTCCATCCTCCGCCAGCTCCCACCGCCCGTCTTTCCTCTCTCCCAGAGGCGGCTGGGAAAGAGCACAACCCCAAATAGTCCACGACCCGAAAGGAATCCCTAATGTGGGGCTGAGCCCCCTGAAAAGTTGGCTCCCCGAACGCTCTCCAGGTCTCTTTTTAGCATGGAGAGGGGGATAAGCTGCCGGTTCTGGTTTTAAGAAATAGGAATGGAGGAGAAGAAACCGTGTCTGCACGTGTCTCCCGTGCTCCTGTGTGCACAAAGGTGTGCATCTCCTGAACCCGGTGTCCCAGCCCAGCCAGCCTGCCTGACCCTCTGTTTGATGCTGAGGAGGGCAGAGCAACAGAGCAAGTAGCTACAAATCACTGGTGCTGGCAGCTCCGGTGGGGGGTCCTGACTCCTCCAGAGTGAAAGAGCAAGTGCTTTAAGGAGTGTGCTTCTCCCAGCTTGCTGAGCATCTCCTTAGGCTTCTCAGCTGAGCTGAAACTACCACTGTGGATCAGCCACGAGGCACCTTTCCTTACTGCAGTCGTCTTCAGCGGGCTACCAGAGCTCAGGGGAGCTGCCCTGTCTTTCCCGTTCCCTTTCTGAATGCACCAGAGGCAGAGGCTCTTTGGATCACCGCCCAGTATCGGCAAACCCACAGAAAAAGCCACACTTGGGGAAAGCTGGACCAGGGTGCCTCCAGTGGGGTGAAATTTAGCTAAAGACAATTTAAGCTGAATACATGGAGAGATGGCCTGCTTGTGAAAGTGGTTGGCTGCAGAAGAGCCTCTAAGGGGAAATCAACGCTCAACTAAAACTGCCTCAGGTGGATCCAGAAAACAGTCTGGAGAGCCACCCAGCATCTACAGCAGCAGTCCTACAACTGTGTAAGCATTGAACAAAGCTTCAGAGTGTCAATTACATGGCTCAAAGGTGTTTAATTCCCATCCTGCCTGCATTGTACTTTTCTGACGTAAAATCCTTCCCCTCTCTTTCCTTTCAGCCTCGCAGGTCATGCTGGGATTTTACCATCAGAAGGAATATGATCACCAGCTCAGGAACTATGGGCAGAGGGATTTTTGCTTTCTCTGCTCCCTATGCAAACTGGAAATCCCATCTGCATTGATATTAAACCACTTTTGCTTCACCAGCTCAGCTTTCCTGCCCAAGGATGGGATTTCCACATCCTGCTGCCCCCCTGCCCGGGCCTGCACGCTGCCTGCTCACCAGGTCCTGGGCCTGGATGGAGTTGCAGGAATTTAGCCGTGGTCCAAGTCCTTTATAAAGCATCAGGGCTGTGCAGGCCTGGCTACATCCTGCAGTCTTACCATTTTTATTAAGTTATTGGCATTCCTATGTCCAGTGAGAAGATGATTCCTGCTCCAGCAACATGGGCCTCAGCACCATCAGTGGAAGGTGAATGATGGGACCAAACTCTGTTTTGTGAGGGTGAGACTCACATCTTCATGTCCTTTTACTTTTCAATTCTTTATTTCTTGGTCCGTAAGGAAACTTTCACCTGCAACTCCCTCAGCTTCATCTGGGCTGCTTATGTGAGTAAAGAAGGGGCAAAGCCCCTCATTTGCAGAATATTATTCCCTGCCTTTAGCTAATTTCCTTTCCTTCAGCTCTGGAAGACATTAGCCAAAAAGGTTCCAACCTTCATGGCTGAAAACAGTAGCTGGAAAATCCATTAGTCTTATATATTTATTATTAAAAATTGTTAAAGGACCAAGTTCTCATTAATCTCTAAATATATCCAGAATAACTCCAAACTTGTGTCTGCATAAATAAGATCAGCCAGTGGCCCTTTTCTCTTTTTCTTTATTAAAATGCAGAGCTGATCACATTAAACCCTCTGTTTTTAAGAAGATGAAGCACGGCAGCTCCAGGGGCCGGCAGCTCCCCGTGGTGGGGGGGTGGCTATGGGAGGGTGCACTCTGCGGAAGGAGAGGGCTGCCTCAGAAATCAGCGCTGTGACATTCACATTACACTCCTGAAAATGATACGGCAAGAGACAATATAATACTAATGTGCTGAAAAATTATGCAAGGCAGAGAAGGTTGTTGTCAGAGACCTGCCTGGCTGCCTGTTGGGGACCAGTGATAGTTGTCACTGTCAGCGCTGAGCTGTCGCTCTAATAACAAGTGGATTATCACTTGATGTAATTTGCTATCAAGCTGCTGTACACCAGTCAGACTGATTACATTTGGGTACCACCCAGCTCCTAGGGAGATATTCAGCAAACCCACAGCCGCCTAGGCACGGCGAGGTCTCTGTTTTGTCGCAGGTGCCTTTTTGGGGACCGAGGAAAGCGGTGGCCAAAGCACCGGGTGAGCACGCGATAAATATGGCAGCAATAAATGCAGTGTCCAAGGGGAGGCAGGGCAAGCCAGTGTATGATTTTAGAAGAGGCTGGTGTCTTAAAACTATCCCTTATAACATCTAGATGGAAGGCCTGTAGGGTCAAACTTAGTGGTCCCTTAGATAACAAAGTCATCTATTGAAATTAAGTAGTTTCGCTCAGTTAGGAATGACCCACTGAAATTAAAACTCAGAAAGATGTATAAGGCCCGCTGAAGTGACAAGATCTGTAATTATTCCCCACACTACTGGGGAGGGACATCTCTGTCCAGTCTTATTTTAAATGTCCCGAGAAATACACATTTGACCAATCCCTGGGGAGGGTTCAGTAACATTTCAGTCTAACGGGTCTCACGAGTGGGATAAGATTTTCAACTTTCAGCCTACATTTTTGTATTGCTTAATTTCATCCCATTATTTCTGATGAAACACTTTGTGGAAGGCGTACAATTGCTCCCTAGCCTGGATTTTCATGTTTTAATGATGGTTAATTATTCCGCGAGAAACTTTTATTTTTACTTTTTATTCATCTCGCTTTTGCACTGGATGCTTTACTCTGAAGTTTAATTAGCGCATTTCAGAACTAAATATCTAGATTAAATCATTGCTGAGTGAGCTCCGCTCCAGGATTTATGATCGTTGTGTACAGCCTTTATTATACCTGCCAATTCAGGCAACCAATTTATCTATAGATGGGTTATTTGGGCCGGGAGCGAGCCAGGTACCGCAATGGGCTCAGGGAAAGGCTCTCACGCAGCCTGGCCTGGTGCTGCTGCCCCTCCTGCCCCAGCTGCAGGGAGGAAGAGGATGGTTGAAGGTGCCGATGATGATGTGTAGGAAGGGGCAGCCTCCAGCTCCTTCAAACCCTGGTGAGGGCATTGCACACCCTAACAGCAGGTCT